TGTTTTCATGAAGTGAAACAGCCAGACTTAAGGAGCTATTATCTGCTATGATAAATATCTACTCAAGCTATTTGAGAATGCTTAGCAAAGTGTTTAAAGACTCTTAAAACCAAAACCAAAATTTATCCAGTTCCCTGTCTCTTCTTTGTCTCAATCTTATTTTCCTTTGTGCTTCTTGATCCTCTATTTTTTTATATTAATTTTTAATAGTGGATCAGGAAATTCAGCTTTTTCAGTACTCAAAGGCCAATGTTATCTGACTGTTCCAAGTCATGACTCTCTGGCCTCTAGCAACAAAGACTTCCCTTAACATGATTATTTGCTGGGTCTGCTTCCAGATGTGTCTGTTTTTAGGTGTTTAATATATTTAAGTCTTTACTAAATGTTATAAGAAATCACTAGCAAACTACAACATCCTGGTATTCTTCTCCTGTCTCATCTTAGTGGTAATGTGGCCTGAGTCAAAAGATAAACATAGCTATTAAAAATCAGCTGACACAAGCAGAGACTAACAGTTCTTGCCATCTTGTAAAGCAGTGATAAAAGGCTCTTCTTTATCTTCACTGCAACTTTGTTAATTTCACATTTTGCGTTCAAAACTTATGATATTCTAATCCTAATATCAGTATTGTGCTAGCCAGGACTCTTCTTGGATAATGCAACAGAATTCAATTCATACTGATTTAAAGAGAAAGGAAACATAGCCATATGCAACGGGGGATGAGGGTCTTCAGACACTGCCGATACAGGTACTCAAATCATGCTTTCAGGCTGGAAACTTGGTATTGTTCAGATCAACCCTTTTTGTTTGATGGGACTGACAGCCTCCACTATCCCTAGACTCCTCTCCTATCAACAGAAAGAAATTATATTTCTCAATTTTTTAAAAACGTCTTGAGAAAGATTTGATTACTCTACTTTATGCTAGTTTTCATTAGAGAACTAATTATAATGACCAGGAAAAAGAGATACTTTCATTGCTTGATCAGGTCTGGCTATATTCAGGCCCTATAACTTTGGATACAATGCAAGATTGGCCCCAATTAAATATTGTAGAGCAGATTTTCTTAAGAAAGAGGAGGTCTAATCCCAGAACCAGTGGGAGGTGATTTTTTCTTAGCAAAGACCATGCTGGTTATATGTAGATTAATATATATATAAGAAGTATTATTTGTATATATGAAGTCTAAATTATGCAAAGTTATTCTGAAAGGTAAAAGAATTTATTGTTATGTTGTTTCATACTCGATTCTATATTATTTTATATAGAATATTATTCTGTATTTTATTTTTTGCAGAAGAAAGCATCAAAATTGATAAAAATTTTGTTTTAAATGTCTTAATGTCTGGTTCATGATGATAAAATTATGTCTTCTGTGTACAAGATATTACCCCTTATATTCATTAGGAAATTAGGTAAAAAGGAAATATTTATTTCATCCAAAGCATTATTCACTAAGATACACATTTAAATAAAGATGATTTAAAGTATATCCTAGTTTTATGTTGCTTAAAATAATTGCTTCATCTGCCAAAAGACCATTATTGACTTCTCCATATGTTATTAGAATACAAATTTTTTTTTGGTACTGGGGATTGAACTTGTGAGTCAGGCGGAGGAACTACTGAGCTAAATCCCTGGCCCTAGAATACAAATTTTGTTAAAGCAATTTTTTAAAATTCTGGGGCCAGGGATTTAGCTCAGTGATTCTGCCACCTATCTCACAAGCACAAGGTCCCGAGTTCAATCCCTGGTACCAAAAAAACAAAACAAAACAGAAAACAACAAAAAAAGAATTTTTAAAAATTCTGAATAAATACATTCAATTTGAGAGAGAAAAGTAAAGAGTTATTTTGTATTATCTTGAAGAACATTCTTACACATTCCTAGAATGTTGTGGATGTGCTTCAATGCCAGCATGTTCTCAGGCTCGTTCTGTCCTACCTGTAGCAAGAGATGTTCCAGTGCAACGATGGCGAACCTATGGCACATGTGCAGCAGTGGACTGTTTGCTATTGTTGAAAGCTCTAAAAGGTCCCCATCACTGTTCCAGACCCTCAACCAGTAGCATTTTCTTGCATTTCATTAGTTACTCCATCAATAATGGAAATGAAATGTATAGTTTTTTATCTTAGAAAATTGCAGCTCCTTAAAATATAGATATTCATTTATTAATGAAAAAGTAAAAAATGGATATTCATTCCACAACTGGTAGCTTTTGCCATAGTATTTTAAACTTTGATCCATCTTATACTCAAGCATATAACCTACCACAGCTATCTACTAAAAACTAGTGAAAGCCAGTAAACTTTAGGCTCATGTGATTTGAAAATTTCCATGTGAATTTGAAAATGTTATCATCATTAACACTAGAGTTTTTACCTAAAATTATTTGCTCTAGCTGCACATATACTAAAATTAGAAAAATACAAAGATGATTAACATGGGCCCTACTCAAGGATGACATATAAACTCATGAAGTACCCATATTTTTCCACCAGAAAAAAAAAATTTTTGAGGAGATAGATATGTTTAATCTGATTTAAACATTACACAGTGTGTACATGTATTGAAACATCACATGGTATCCCATTAATAATAATATAATGATAATACATAATAATAAGGGCTGGAAGTGTAGTTCAGTGCTCCCTATGTTCAATCCCCAGGCCAAAAAGAGAGAGACATTAAAGGAAAGGCATGATAAAGTTTGAATGAACCTTGCAATTTAGCAAGATCAACGTAACATTTTTAAGAAATGGTATACATTTCATTTTAAACCTTTTAAATTTATCCAGAGAAAATTATATTTAAGGAATTTTGGCCAAAGGGGGGGGGGGACACAAAGTAGCCATGAGACAGAACAAATGTCTGTATTTACAGAGTAAATTGTGCTTTTAACCAGTGTCTGAAACATTCCCACTTGCTTTCACTGAGAGCAGAATGATTGCTTTCATTGGTTGGTTGAATTCAGTTATCTGCATAATTCAACTCAGCTTATAGGGCCATTTTTGACTGGTACAAGACATCTTTAAGGGGAGATATTTTCCTGATGAGATCACAGGTGGGAAGAAGCAATGAGATCTAACAGGTATCTGAGGGTGTCCAAGGGCTGGTAAGCTAGAAAAAAATTGGGCTACCAAATTTGTAGAGTGATACTATATGTGCCTCTGACTCTTTTCTAGTACAAGCCATACTATATTTTAAATTATATGAAAATAGGTTGTTACTGTTATCAGAACTAGAAGCTAATGGCAGAGAGTTCCTCCCCATTTAATGTGCCCTTAATATTTCTTCTTTTGCTAAAATAGGCTTTAAAGTTTTACAGGATTTATACTTTATGAATTAGATAGCTCATTGGGATTGCTCTTTATGTACTGCTCGCTATTTGCGAGGCATTTTCTTTGCTTCTCAGAAATTAGTAAGAGAAAGAGATACAAGGCCCATGTTTGTTCATGCATTCAGTGATCAGGACTAGTTTCAGTTTGTCACTAGTAATATGAATTATAAGGAGAAGAATCTCAAGAAGAATTAAAAATGACTATACTTTTTGTCAAGAAAATATAAATAAATTATAATGAAATACTTTCAATCCACCCTCATTTCCCAAACTTCCTACTTTCAGCAGCCCCCACACTAGATTTAAACAATCCTAATGATAAGCAGAATGAAGACAGGTCAGTGATCTAAACTACTTTCCCATGATATTAAGAACTCTCTTTATGAAATTCAGTAAACTAAAAATTAAAACAAATATTTATTCACGTGGCAGAACTTTGTATCTGAGTAAATTTGAGAAAATGGACTCCTGAAGTACTACAATTATCATCAGGGATAAGTCTTAAGAACTATTCAACTGGAGTCCAGGTTACCTCTCCATAAGGATTTAGCAGTGCTACTTAGAGCTATCAAGTGCATGGACAATGGGTGTCATATTGAAATTAAACACACACAGACTGGCAGGAGGCATATAGAAATTAAGTAACATCAACTCTTATTGAGTAAAAAGGATTCACCACAGAAAGTAGTTAACTCCCACTCTGAAACAGGTTATAATACCCATAAGGGGCACTTGAAAAACCATTGAAGTTGGGCTGCACACCATGGTCTGACATTGGCTGGCCATGTGATTTGGAGTATGGCAATATATCACAATATTCACAGCTGGAAAAGATAAGCCATCTTATTTTATACTTGGCAGAAAAATATGCACAGGAAGTTCATAAACAAAGAAATACAAATGTAAAATAAATACATAAAAGTGCTCGATCTCACTAATAGTGAAATCAAAATGCAAATCAAAATTAAAATAGTAGGGCCGGGGATTTAGCTCAGTGGTTCTGGCGCCTGTCTTGCAAGCACAAAGTCCTGAGTTTGATCCCTGGTACCAAAAAAAATAAAAATAAAAGTAGTAAGGATACATTATTTCTATCTGTCAGGTTAACAAACAATTTTAAAATGTTGAAGGTGAAAAGAAATGGAGTAACTCCCTGGCATTATTTCCTAGTTGTAATAAATAATAGCAACAATAAACTTTTATGTAGTTTTAAATACGAGGCTAAAAAGGTAAAGTACAATAATATTTAGAATGTGTTTTCTTTCCTAAAAATGAAACCAATTTTTGCACAGTAATTTATATTTGTTTTGGTTAGAATTAATCATATACATATATTTGTGCTAGGGCATTTTTCATATATAGGATATCTACTTAGATGTACCAAAAGTTCACTGTTTAGATTTGCAATAAAGTATGATTGTCCCATTTAAAAAAGAAGAAAGAACAGAAATGCCAAAACATCCTCAGAGCAGCAGGGGAGCCCCGGTGCCTTCACTGTGGCTATTTTTAGCCTGCCCTGCTTCTGTGGACTGGGTCAGAGGGAATGCCAGGGGCAAGATGGTGTCCTTGGCAGAAGCAAGGCAGGTTATATGATGTTTAAAAAAAAGATTTGCCTAAATAATTCAGAGGGTATATGTAATGAAGTGCTTCTTATTTTTGCAGGGATTGCTCTGTGAATTCTTAAATATCGAAAGACCTGAACTTGAGGAGAGACCACATTCGTCCTTGATAAACTGAAAGGAGCCTAGGACCACTACACTCTTCCAGCCAAGCATTTTAATCAGCACATGGTGCTGACGGGGCACACATCATGAAGCTCACTGGAGCTTTGTTTGGAAAGATTATGTAAGCTTTAGAATGTCCGTCCTAAAGTTCACTGTTCCGAGCAAGATCAGAAGGAAATCCTGAACTCTACACCAAAGAAATTTCTCAGAAGGATGAGAGGGATTAATCTTGTTCCTTGGATTCCCATAATTGTTACATAGAATTGCCAACTTTGATATATTCTTCTAAAAAGACCCTGCTTTATTATTTTTGTTTGCTTTCTCTTAAGCTTTTGCTAAACAATTTGGATAATAATTATATGTTTCTTGAAGCCAAGTGAAGGTGACAGATGGGTAATTTAACATGCTCAAATAGAAGTTTAGCACTGACTGGGATCTGCTGCTAAGGTACCTACAAATTGTAGAAGTTCAATTACACTGCTGTCCCATGTTCCTCATTTACACTCTGACTCTTTCAGTACTGACCACTAGAACATCATCCACATGCCTTACCAGCCTTCTTTTTCCTTTCTCTTTTACACAAGTATTGTTCTAGAACAGGTCGTATTTCATGCATCTCCAAAGATAAACCTCAAACTGAGGTAAGTTAGAAGAAATAAAGACAGGTAGAAAGAAGACAAGGAAATTTGTAACATATATATCTATATCATATATCATATATATATCATATATATCATATATATCTATATCCCACGGCTTTACTCCCGTGTGTGTGTGTGTGTGTGTGTGTGTGTGTTTCTTCCAGACTCGTTACATCCAAGTCTCTTAAAGATTCTATTAAGTCTGTAAAACTAGCTTAGTAAATAAGGTCAAAAGCAGAAATCTGACCTGAAGCTCAGAGCTAGAGCACTTGCCTTAGTGAAGCCCTGGGTTCAATCTCCAGTGCTCAGCACCAGTAAAAACAACAACAGCAAAATGCAATAAACTGGGCCTAAAACTTTCCCATGTAAAATGGGCCTTTCACTTGTGAATGACCCTTTCCTTTTTGACCTGTGGATGAACCATCACATTTCTCCCATAAATTGAGCCCAAGCACCCTATAGATTCATAAATTCCATAGGTTTCTACCCCCAAAACCATGAATATTCCCAGCTCCAGACCATAATGCATCTCTCTTGAGCCCCCCAATCCTGTTCTGCCTGTGTGTACCTTAACTCTATAATTAATTCTAATTAAACCTTTCTATATCTATCACTGACATATTGAAATTCTTTTTTGTGATGACAGTCAAAAGGCTACTCAGTGGGCCGAGTTGAGGTCCCCACCTTCTCCTTGGGGGAACTCCTTAGACCCACCAAGTGACAAGATTCACCTAGCAGGTTTTATCACACAAATCTGAATTTTTCAAATTCAAACTGTATAAACACTAGGCAATTGTTTATTTCTCGGGTCTGGTTTTGAAAAAGCCCAATCTTTCCTGACCTCCATACGAAACCCCAAATTTCAGACTAAAATGGTTACTTCTCTGTCCACCTAAACATCAGGTCTGCTCAGAGTTCAGAGCTAACATCTCTTCAAATAGTCTTTTTTTAAAAATCTGTTTTCATAGATCTTTCCCCCAGTGATTATAACTCCATTCATTCATTTCTTTCTTCGTTGCTTCACAGTGAGCAAATCAGCTCTTTCTGCCAAACCAGTTTTCCTTAGGCAATTTTTCTACTTTCCTACCAGTCTACTTTCCTCTTTTTTCTAGTCCTGTCTGCGCACTTCCTCTGTCTCCTGAAGTTCCTCCAAGGCCCTGGTGTTGGGGTCTATCAAGCTACTGAAATGTCCCAGGTTGGCAGGCCTTTTCCTAGCTTGATCCAGGGCCTGTTCATCTCTGGTAGCTATTCATATTTTCTGTAATTTTTCCTAATAACTTGGTCAAGATTCATTAGAAAGACAGGATTCATCTATTTGCTCTTTATTTTTATTCAGGAATGCTATAGTTGGATCTGGAAGTCCTTCAGAGGCCTATGTGCTAAATGTTTGTTCCCTGGGGTGGCAGACTGGGAAAGTGGTAGAAATTTGAAGAAGTGGAGCTTAGTGGAAGTACTTCTGGTCATTGGGGCCGTGCTGCTGAAGGGGATGATGGGACCCTGCCATTTCTCTCTCTCTCTGCTGTTCACCTCATGAGGTGAGCAGCCTGTTGAATCCCCACCATGATGTGCTGCCTCATCAAAGGTCCAAAAGCAACAGGGCCAATTGATTATAGACTGAAACCTCCAAAACTGTGAGCCAAAACAACTTTTTCTCTTTCTAAGTTTACTTACATCAGATCTGATTTACAGTCATAGAAATCTGACTAACTCAAGAGCTCTCTGTTTAAGGTATCATTTGAAAAGGATCTTTCTTTGGTTCAACCAGGGTTTTTTTTTTTTTTTTTTTTCCAACTTTGGCTTCTGTTTTCAATACTTTTCTGGTTGACTAGTTGTCCATATTTGAACTGTTTTTAAGTTTATTTGGTTTTATTCTACCTGGACCTACAAACTATGATAATGGTGTTAAGCAGATAGTTAAACATTAGCAGGACTGAGGGACAAATGGGGGAGGGTCCAAAATAGCTTATTTCAGAGCCATATATAGTTAAGTGGCTTGTAAACATTATTTCTTCTTGTTTATAGTCAGTTCATCTTCAGATGGTCTTGCACCCTTCTGACCTAGCCAGCTTTAACAGACTCTTCAACTGATCCTCCTGGACTGAAATTTAGCCAAGACCAGGGACCCTAACTACATCCCCGAAAGGCCCTCTCTTAGAATGTAGCCAGAATGAACTGCCCCCAAATACCCTAAACAATTTTACAGTGCCAACTCTTTAGAGGGTATGTTAGGAAGGTAGTTAGACATTAGTGGGTCTGAGGGAAAAATGGTAGAGGGTACCCAAAACAGTATGCATTGTCAGTTGAGTAAAGAAACAAAGACATCAATATATAATATATTTATAGTCATTTGTTAGGTCTCAAACCTAAAGTGATCCCACAGAATACAATAACAATTTAACATACACATGGGACACAATCCTTCTGATACCAGACTGTCTAGTTCCAAAACAATGCATACAACATTCCTGGATTCCATAGCCTAGGGGCCAGTGATATCAGGAAAGGGAATGTTCTTTAGAGGCCCGACTGCCTTGGGCTAGGTCAATTGAAAGTAAGAATTTATCTTTTTTAAGTTTCTTTTGTAGGTTCTTGACATGATTAAAGCCCTTGAGGAAAAGCTGACCATCTAAAATGGAGAAGACATTTTTGCAAAGTATCTTCTAAATAAAATGTCAACAAATATCAGAAATATCCTTGTTTACTGAACTCCCAAGGAATAACTTTTGTGTTCATAAAAAAGTATCCAAATTCACTCTTGGTACAGATGGCTTTGTGCCACCACCCACATTCTTGCTTGAAGGCATAATACTCTCTGTATCTATTTTACAATAAACTATACTCATACTTCTACATGGCTGCCCATGAGTCGTGGTTGAATTCTTTCATCAGGGCACAAAATACTGAGAACCTAGGAAGTGAGGTTCATTCCTGCACCAAGCCTTGGCTTCTTGGTGACAAGGGGACCATATAATCCTTGGTTTTAATATTTTTGACTTTTCTGATTCTGTATGAAACCTTTACTTTTCATTCTTATAAAATCGGCATCTTACAATACATTTTGCACTCACATTAACAAAGCAACTACAGTTAAACCTTAATGACATTCAATTAAAACACATAAAAATTAAGAAGTTATATACGAGATCTCCTCTATATCCAAGTGCAGAGTAAAGACTGATTGGTGCCTGGGGGTGTAGCTCAGTGACACAGCAGGTGTGTAGAATGCAAAGGGCCTGGGTTTGATCCCCAATACAAAAAAGAGAGAGAGATTTGAATTAAATATCTCAAGATAATGTTCTGTGTTCAAAATCAACTATGTTCTGTGCCATTGTAGGAAGCAAGAAGCTAAGAAATCAAAGATTTTTTAAAAAAGCTTCTCTGGGCCTTTAAATCCAATGGAAGTCCTTCTAAAAATTGAATTTAAAAATATTAGACAATCTAAGTGTATTCAGCTGATACCTAGTACTTGCTATTTTTTAAGGGCTATAATTGATGTTGATTTTTACCTCGGAATCAAGCCTTTCTCAATTCTTACTTAGGTCTCCTTCATTAAATTTGATTTAGCCCATCTATGAGAGATTATACTTGCTGAGTGTGCTTTATTAATTAAATTCGCATACAAGAAGTGTAAAAGTCCTGTGATGAGAGGCTGCCTGGTAGAGGTCAGGGAAGGGTTCTCTGAGGAGGAGGAACTCAGAGTTGGGAAGCCCTCGGAGGTAATGGAAGGGAGAGCAAGGTGCCTTCTGAGGGAAGGGGAGGGCATGGGAAAAGGTCCTGTGGTGCAGGGGAGCACTACAAAAGCAAAGGAAAGAAGAGCCTTTTGATGAGCTAAAACAAAGAAAGAAGGACTGTGTGGCAGGATGAAGCCAGAGAGGCAGGAGGACTCATACCCCCATGTAAGTAGCTTAATAATTGATATATTTTACCTTAAAAGCAATGGTGTTAGGTCAGTTATTAAGTGTTGTGGTCTCCCCTAAACACTTTGTATTTTTATCTTACTTTATCCTCATGCAAGTTTCTGGGTAAGTCCTATTACCTTACTTTAGGTAAGGGAATGGGTTGTAGAAACAGTAAGTTACAGTTGGTGGTAGATCCCAGGTAGAAGGGAGGTGAAAAGTATATTTTTATTCATTGAGTTAGATGCTTACAAATATACTGTGAAGCTGTGAAATAAATTCCAGTTGTGAAATCTTGGCAATTTTCAGACTTTGAAAATTTCAGCATTTTAAACAGTTGTTTCTCTTCTCAAATATAATACAAACCTGTTCATGCCTTTTTTGTCATATTTCTGAGTGTGTGTTTCCTGTCAAATTATTTAACTCCAAGGGACATTCTCTTTCATCACTTTTCGCTATGAGGGCTTCTACTTAAGACTAGGAGCCAGGGCTCTGCATTTTAAAACTTCCAAGTATTCAGCTGGAAAATATTCAAATGAAGCATATAGAAATACTCAGTAGAAGCATCATCTAAATTGCCCCTGTTCTCATTTAAAAGGGAATATAAACTTCTAAAATGTGGATGCAGGCTAAAATATTAGAGGCAATGACACCAATAGAGTTAGGATAGACAACATTAAGTCACAAGTTTAAACACTTAGCATTATTCTTAGAAAGTGTGACTAAAACCTATCTAGAACCTATAAATAATCCCTTGCTTACTTTGCCAGGAGCTATAATTAAGTCATAAGCTTTATAAATAATAGAAAATGAACCTCTGCACCATGACTGCATGCTGTGGATACAGTAGTTTAAACACACATACATTCATTGTTTCCTACCTATCCTATTAATAAATAGCTCTACATATTCTCATTTTTAAAACTATGTCTACATTTAGCTAAATTCAAATGAACAAATTAAAAAGTAAAACTGAATCTCAAATATCGATATATCCTAACTGAATCCAAATCATTGATACATCTCTTTACAAAGATGGATTACCCTCTTCCCTAAAAGAGGTTGGATATGTGGT